GGGAGAGCAACCTGGGAGGATGAGACTTCATAACCTGGAGCTGGAATTGGACAATTAACCCCAGTATGGAAATGGACCAGAACTCATGAAAATGTGAAAACTCGTGACACGCCGTCCAACCTTGGGTCCACCCACATTAGAAATAGAGTCAATATTGTCTCCTATTTTTTAGCAAAATGCTGCACAAAGAAACTGATTAAAATCCTGGCTGTCCATTCCAGTCAGATATTCTGAAAGCAGCAACATTTCCCCATTAAGCCCAGTATGGAAATGGACCAAAGCTTATAAAAGTGTGAAAACTCATAACCCAGGATCCATCTTGGGTGGAGCCTTGGCCAGGCTCTTGTACTGCCCAAGGTGTATCCTGTGAAGGCCTTTAATAAATCCCTGTTTTATTCCTTTAACTCTGTCTAGCCTCTGTCCTAGGTAGCTTGTCTGAGAATCAAGCCTGTTCTCTTTCTGATTTTAATCAGGAAATGTGTTTTTTTAATCTGACCCATAAATACCTTGCTAAGGTATTTGTAAGTCAGATTAAAAACCTGCTGTCTTAGTAGGTAAGATGGCAGATGTGCCACCAGGTTTTATAATTTCAGGCTTTTCCTTGAAAGAAGTCATGGCATACATAACACTGTGTTTAATACACATAAAATATCTATATAACACATAAATATTGGGTAGAAAGTATATATTTTTTGCAGGTTTAAAGAAAGGCCACCATCCTTTTGTGTGATGCAAAAAGCTGTAGAAGCAGCACAAGGGCAGGGATTTACCAACCTGTCCCCACAGTTTGTGTTATCCCTGTTGGGTGGGAATGGACACACGGACACAGGTCCAGCCTCCAGCAATGCCCCACAGCACAAGGGGGCTTTACCTTCAACCTCCCAAGGAGATTTTTCCATTTGGATTCTTCTTCCCAACCGTTGTGTGCACAGCAGCAGGAGGAAAATGTCACTCCAGGGGTGTGGCAGAAAATCCAGGAATCTGCACAGGCCTGGCCATTATAAATAGTGACACCTTTGAACCTCTGTAGGCAGCAGTGGCTCCCTGAATTCACTGCACCAGCAAGTCCTTGAGAGCTGTCAAAGTAACCTCACAATCAAATCAATATTGCAGCATTTGTGATTATTATTATTATTTTCCTGATAATGATCCCCAGTCTTCCACTGTGTGTCATTAAATCTGCTTTAGAGCAACAGAATCCCCAGGAAATAATGACTTTTCACAGCAAAGATAATTTACCACAAGCTACCCAGGTAGTGTTTGTTGCTTCTTGCTGTTAAAAGGGGGATGGATATGAAACACTTTTAACAATGTCAATAATCAGTTTTTAACCTTATAAACATCAATTTTACAACTGATAAAGTAATGAATTCTCTGTGTTAGTCCCCTTATTTACAACAGATAATGCCAGAGAAAAAACACACTCTCTTTCCATTTCAAAAGTTTCATTTCTGCTTAAAAGGGTTTTTTGACAGATAAATTCCCCACAAAACTAGAATAGGAGTTTCTTTGTTGCCAAGAAGAGATCACTCATTTTTCTCTCTCACAATGAACAGAACACTCATTATGGACCAGAACATCCCATGAATTCTTGTTTAACTGTGATTTAAAGTTTCTTAGTGGTAATGGTTCACTGTTCCCAAGCACTCAGCTGTCTGTTAAACTAAACAAAAATATGAATTAACCAAGAACATCAGGATTTATGAGCTGCCCTGCTGCCAGCCTTGCTCTTAGATGTCACTCTTGTATCTTTATAACAATTTTTATGGAGCACTTTCAACCTATAACTGCTGGAAATGTGGTGTCGCTCTCAAAGAGAAACTCAGTCTGGCTTTTCAATTTTGCAAAACCTTTGCTAATAAAAATGCTTTTAAAAAAATTCCCTTTCAGGCTGAGGAAGGCCATGAATTATTTTTGTATGCCTTTCAAAAAATGGTGCAGAACATAAATGGTTTCTTATTAACCCCCCCAACAACAAAACACTAAAACCACAACAAAAAGCTTTTACAATTCATGTCTAACCTCTGGATTTTTGAACTATTTTAAATGTGATGTTCCATCAGCATAAGTTAAGACATTTTATTGACTATTAAATTTTTATGGAGTTTAATAATCATTGGGGGTAAAAATTCAAACCTTTACAATAAGTACATCTTCTCCAATATAATAATTAAGGGAAAGTAGGGAGGTTTCTGCATATTTTGATCATTTTATGTGATGCAATTGGACTAAGAATATGACAGTTTTGTAAGGAAAAAATGTATTTCTCTTGATTCCAGGACATTGAGAAAGCTTATCAGATGATCAGACAGGAACAACCCAATTTAAACCCTGACCTTGGAGAGCTCATCCCCATCCCTTTGTACCCCACAAAACAAGACCTGGCTCCCAAACTCCTTCAAAACAAGCAGAAATGCTGCCAGAAATACAGGAGGAAAGTGCTGCTCACCACCAGCTCTGGAGAGCCTCTGGTCTGGACCAAAAACGTGACTTTTGTCATCGATGTGGGTGTGGAGACAAGAAAGGTCAGTGAGGGGAAGCAGAGACACTTTGTCCAAAATAAACCCTGCAAAAGGGCTTTTTCAGGGCATGGGAGAGGGAGTTGTGCAGCTCAGATTAATGCAAATAATCTCTAGAGGGTGGTGTGGTTCTCTCTTCTTTCACAGCACAGGTCCTATGGTATTTTTAACGTGCAAATTAATAGAATTTAAATCATTTTCATGAGCATCTCATGTGAAAACCAAGCAAGAAATCACAGTTACTTCCCACATTCAATCAGGAATTGAAATTTTGAAGTTTCTAAAAGCAGATGAACACTTGCAGTTGAAATTGCCACTCATTTGGGCACCAAACCCATGGCAGATTGTTTGCAAAATAAATCCCACCTGAGTCTGGCCTATCAGTCATGAATCTCTCTTCAGTATTTTATACATAAAGCAAAATAAAATCACTTCTTAGACACCTGTTGGTAGATCTGGTTTAGGAGATTATTCTTATCCCTAATTTAATTATTTAGTAATTGCCCTCACAGGGAATCTCTATTTTTTCAAGCTGCTTGTGCTCCTCCTGGCCATGTGCTCCCTTCCAAATACTGCAATTTATCTAATTGCATTAGAAATACCTAGATAAATTAACTAATTTATCTAATTGATTGATCTAATTCATACTTAACCTTTTCCAGTTCATTCTAAGTTTGACTTCATTTTTTTGTTTTCCACCCTGGGAAGGATTAGTGCAGCTGCAAAAAAAAAATTTAAAAAAAAATCTCATTTGTTTTATTTCTACAAAACTGAAGTCCTAAGGGATGAGTAACTGTGTAGGAACATGAACTGGAGATCTGCACCACTACAGGTTTTGTAACTGTCCTGGTTAAAATAAAAATTCCAGTGACAGGCAAAAGAAACAATGTGATACATTTCCTTTCTATAGCACAAGGTGGAATAACCAAAATTGGAGTTAAGTGTTCCCAACACTTTGGAGCAGGGATCATTAATCCTGATTGCCCTTGCAAGTATTTCAGGGAAAAGCTTGTGACCTATCAGTACTTTTCATTTCCATTGCAAAAATCTGTCATTTTAAAAGGTTTTTAACTGGGAATTATGAACTGACTCAGTCTCAAGGCAAGTTTAATAAAGTTACAGTTTTTTTTTTTGCCAGGAAGAAGAGCCCAAAAGCAATTTTCAATTAGACCATGCTTATTTCAATTAGACCATGCTTATTTCTTAAACTTATTCCTACAACTGCAGTTTTCTTGGATGGCAGAAATGAATTTCACTGCCATGGTGACCTGGAGCCCAAAGTACAATTCAACAAATTACAAATGTTGTGAAATTAAAATACAAATCAATGGGAACAAACCAGATCCAGCAGTGCTGATGTTTATCAAATCACCTCTATCAGTGATGCAATTTTTACCTTTAATTCCATTCTTTTGTTCAGTGCTGTGATATTCCTCCCTCACCAGTTCAAACTCCCCCTCAGCCAAAGCCAGCTGAGCACAGAGGGAACAGGAAAAGTTCAGTGCAGAGCAAAATCTCCCACCTGAGCCTTGCAGCTGGGGTAAATCAGCAATTCACCTGCAGGAAAGGAAATTTGTGCCCTGCACTGAAGGATATATATATATATATATTTTAATTTTTATCTTTTTTTATCGGCTTTCTGTCATCAGATAGTGTTGGCTCAGAAGGCAGGAGTAGAGAGCTGCCTTATCCTGGCAGTTTTATGTCTTGCTGGACACCACAGGCTTGTGGCCAGAGCAGTGAATCAGCTCCTCAGCCTAATCCAAATAAAGCAAAATTAAGATAACTAAAAAACATGGCCTCATACATCTCCAATGCAGCCCTCATCTCCTGTAATTTCAGTATTAAGACAAAAATCTGGAGCTAGGGAGCAAAATGCTGTCAGAAAAGGTTGGGATTCTGTCACTGCAAGAAACAAATGATATTTTCTGATGTTTTTCTTGATGACAGCATTTTCTGCTTCAGTAAGGTGCTTTTCTTCAGGGGGGAAAAAAGACATTTATCTCAGAGCACACTTGGAGTGACTGCAGAACATCTGTCAGTTTGTCAGGGTGCTGAGTGCTCTCCTTCCCAAGCTGCTGAAACGAAAAGAAATGAAAACTGTTCCTACCCTTTCTGTGAAATGACCTAGAGAGAAATTGAGTGCAGACCATTCATATTTTTGCAGCCCTTGTGTACTTGTCTGATGCTTGGTGTCTCTTTCATTTAAAGGTGTACAATCCTAGAATCAGAGCAGACTCTGTTCTGACCCAGCCTATCAGCCAGAGTCAAGCAGAGGTGCATAAACAAATTCTGGGCATGTCTCCATCAGGTAGAAATATTAGCTCAAAATTTCAATCCATTAGCTCAAATTTATTAATACAACCAACGTGGCAACGTGAGGATGAAGCATTTTAAAAAAGGTAATTTTCCTGAATTCTCTTCCAGGGAAAATCTTCTGCTTGTACCCTGAGGAATTTACACACAAGGAAATGAAGGCAGAAATTCCAGCTAAAGTTCAGGAATCCAACCTCACCAGCTTGGTGCTGTTCCTGAAGAGGATGGACATAGCAGGCTTTGCTCACTGTGACTTCATCAGCAGCCCAGGTAAGAGGATTCTCCAATTTCTCATATTTTTATCATTATTTTAGAAGTTTTTTCCAGGTTAATTTTGCTCTATCACTCACAAGATTGTTTTTTATTTAAAGACTTGTAATAATATCACTCTGCTTTTCCCACTTACCTGCTACAGCAGTTCTCAGCTCAACAGCACTTTGAAAAAAGACCATAAAGTATCTGAATGCAATTGGAATGCTAGAAAAAAAAATCAATATTCCAAGTATCTCCTCATCTAGGTTACATATTATTTTCCTGTAAGCCACAAAGAAAATTTGTGCCCTGTTGTACAAGGTATTGTACAGATATCCAATGGAATACATTCCTTTAATCAAAAGTTTACAAGCCCAATAAAGCACTGCTGTTACCTGGGGGATGTGTGTGGAGGAAATGAGCTTCCTCCTTATCCTGCAGCATCTCCCACCTCAAATTTACAATGGGCTGTTCCTTAGGGCAATATTCCTTATAAAATAAACCCAAATACACTTTCAATACCAGCCAGGGAAAACACTGAATTTGAGGTAAGAGAATAAAGGAAGTTGCTTTTTTTTTTTCCCCTGACTTTATAATTGAGGTTTTTTTCTATAGGATATTTTTCTCTGTTCTGGCTTATCACAAACCCCAAATGCCACTGCATTTCTTTGAAACCCATGAAAGTGAGGGAAATAGCCCTGATTTCAGCTTTGGGGATTGCTGGCTTCATTCTTGAAAATTTTCCAGTGCAATCAGGAACATTTCTTGTATTATCTTGCCTTTCCTCATGCACATACACAAAATTGGAATGATCTCTTCTATGTTATTAATCAGTAATAAAGTGCTAATTCTCACTGTTGGCTGTTGCAATAGATGGTTAAGTGGAATTTTAAAGAAAAATTAATTCTGTTTTTCCCTTGTGTGTTGTTTAGCAGAAACATGCTGAAAAGAAATAAGGAAAAAACATGACCAGTCTGATGGTAAATTAATTCAAAACCAGTGAGAATTGGAGTATTTTGGCCTTTCAAAAAATGCTGAACCCACAAAATCTGCATGGAAAATGCTTATGGAATAATTTGCTCCCACTCAAATTTAAAACATATTTTACTATTTAAAAATATACTAAAAAATTTTAATGCTTTTCCTGGATATGAAGAAAGTTGGTCTTGAACTGTAGAAGGAATTAATTAGTAGAATTATATGAGGGAAAGCATTTGGCATTTTTGGATTTAAAGGGGACAGCATTCAGAGAGAATGAAATGCTAGAGGCACATAAGGGTTTCACAGATACAGGAATTCTAAGCTTTAGCTGTGTTTTTGGATGATGCAGCTGAAGAAAGATGTGTGAAAATTGTGAGGGTATTTGGTGAGTGAAAGAATTGGCTTTACTTGGGTGGACATCACATATGACAGAGCTTTTGCTGACGAGATCAGGAGTGCCAGGTGCTGGTACTGAACAGTTTTAGGAATTACTGAATAGTACAGTGGACAAACTGGCTGAACAAAGGAAAAATCCCACAAACACTGCAGGGGTGCTCTGAAAGGAGAGGAGAAATTCTGCACAATTTCCTTGTTTGCTTCCTGCCTTACACAATTCAACATTTGAGACACAGCTGTGGTGATCCAGCACAGCTCTTCCCTTAACCAGGACACATCACACACTGATTTTCTTTCCCCTTTGGAGCAGACAGGGAACTTTTTTCCTACCAGCACTTGGATTGATCCCTACAGATCCCTCCAGAGATGAGTGCAAAGCTCCCCCAGTCAGCACACAGAGTTTGGAGTGCCTGCTGTGGAATTCTCTGAAAGAAACTGGAGCCCCAAGGGATAAATTTGTCAGGAGAGTCAGTTCTTGTGTTGCTCACAGAACTCCAAACACATCAGGCTTTCAAGTACACAAACCCAAGGATGGTTTGGGCTAGAAGGGAACTTTAAGATCACCCAGTTCCATCCCTGCCATGGGTTTGGCTGTTCCATGGCTCTTCCCCTCCCTGGAGCTGAGTTCCCTTGGAGCAAAAGGAGTAAAAACATTGCAGGCTCCCTCTGCTCTGTTCCTGTCCAACATTCTCACCTTGTCTTGCAGCTGAAACACAGGGAGGCTTCAGGGGTTTTAGGTGAATTTCTCCTAAACAAAGTCAAGTTTTCACTGAGATAACTGCTGAACAAACAAATCAGAAGGACACTGAAATCCATAGCAAGAAGTTCTTCTCAATCTGTCTCCTGCACATGGAGAACGTGCAGCAGATAAGAGACAAAAAATACGTCAGTAAAACATTTTATTTCTGCTCAGCAACAATGTGCCCAAGGGATTTTTTTTTTTCCTGCTGCTCTTTGAGGAGAAATAAAAGCCTGGATTAGGTCTGACTCATTACTGCATTATGAAAGCAACAAACATGTCAGGCTTACAGCTGCTGCATTTAATTCATGCCATAATGGAGAGCAGCAAATGCAGCAGAGCTCCTTCCCCTTTCTGGAATTCAGGAGCCAGAGGAAAAT